GCTGGTGACACTGTCTGTGATTTATTTAGAATTCAAGGCACACTTAACCAGCACGGCTACCACAGCATTCTGCAGCGATACGCCATCCCATCTGGTTTGGGCTTAATGGGACTATCATTTGTTTTTCAACAGGACAATGACCCAACACACCTCCAGGCTGTGTAAGGGCTATTTTACCAAGAAGGAGGGTGATGGAGTGCTGCATCAGATGACCTGGTCTCCACAATCCCCTGACCTCAACCCAATTGAGATGGTTTGGGATGAGTCGGACGGCAGATTGAAGGAAAAGCAGCCAACAAGTGCTCAGCATATGTGGGAACTCCTTCAAGACTGTTGGAAAAGCATTCCAGGTGAAGCTGGTTGAGAGAATGCCAAGAGTGTGCAAAGCTGTCATCAAGGCAAAGGGTGGCTATTTGAAGAATCTCAAATATAAAATATACTTTGATTTGTTTAACACTTTTTTGGTTACTACATGATTCCATGTGTTATTTCATAGTTTTGATTTATTCACTATTATTCTATAATGTGAAAAATAGTAAAAATAAAGAAAAACCCTTGAATGAGTAGGTGTGTCCAAACTTTTGACTGGTACTGTATGTGTGGGCTGAACTGGAGTGACTATCATGTATCTGTAGAGCTAGATGCCTTGCTTTCTCTATTGTCAGCTGGACTTGTTGTAGACCCTCCCCTTCCTTTCGAGGGGAAAAGAGAGTTGGTGGCAGGGATGAGGTCACTTTTCCAAAACATGGCTCATGCGATGTAGCGAGCAGCCCTCCACCAGAACATTTCCTGTTGAAAAGCAGCGCTGAAAAAGTCGAACTCAGTGTTAGATTTATGGTGAATGCCGGGGAAACGGCTGCCTCAGTGATGACGGTAATGGTAGAGAATTGTTATGTAAAAAAAGGTAGACAAATATTTACAGAAACCCTCAACAGCTATTTGAAATATGTGCAATTAATTGCATTGCTTAGCTTATAGTAGCTTGGCCTCAATTTGTAGAGTCATCCAGTGTGTCCCTTAACAGTGGAATCCAATGATGGGATGGCTTTACAAAATTAAGACCTAGGCCTGCTATTAGTTATCCCCTACAATGAAATCGGGGGGGGGCTGTGGATCTGTCTCCCTCTGTATGTTCGTCACACGCGATATCTCAGACAGCACTGGCACGATTTTGATTAAACTTGGGTGAATGATGTGCCTTGCCATCAAGATCCGGCATTTACAAAATTACACTGAGGGGCCCAAGGCAGGAGTTATACTAATTAACAGAAATGTGTTAGTCACACGCAATATCTCATTTGGCCCAAGGGGGTGGGTGGGGGGGATGGGACATGTTTACTGTTGCCTTGTTTTATATGGACATACAGCCATAGGCATTATTTTCAGTCGTTTATGGGATCATGATCTACAAGATCGCTACAACAACAGAGAACGGTGTGTATGTAACAGGCAGTTGTTGTTGCGCTTGCGTGCATCTGTGTGTGTGTGTGACATGGCTGTGGCTCACTGCTGGTGAGGATGAGGGGCGCAGCAGAATATGACTTCTCCCCCTGAGTGTGTGGGTTGCCCTGTAATTTGTTGCCTGTCATCAAGACCTGGAAAAAACATTGTGAACTGGCCTATTTGTGCTGAGTGGGAGCTGGAGGCACTAAGTGAGGAGGAGTGAGGGAGGGAATGGGTGGGATAGAGACTACGTGTTTATGTTACACTCCTCTAATCTGAGAAGCAGGCATCTGGAGCAAATCTGAGGCATTTGGAATTTGGCAGTTCCTGAGGGATACTGTATTTCAAGAAACACAGACAGCTTCTTTCTGCAACCTAGAACGGAAATCTTGTCCACAAGAAGTTGTACAACAGCTATTTTTTGTAAATATTCCGAAACAAATCAATGTTTTCCAGTTTATGATGAAAGAAAAACCTAGTTTGACTCAGTTTAACAAATGTACTCTTAATAACGACTTCTACATTATTTTATTGTTCTTAACTAGTTTCTGTGCAGCTGCAGATTCTCTAATCCTTCCAATGTGGGGATATGTTCGTGTCCAGCTGTAATAGGAAGTTCAGCTAATCTGCACAGCACCTTGACTAATTAGAATGAATGTCGTGAAGAAGCACACTGTTGTGTTCCCTCCATTGTGCTATGGCTAGGGCAAGCATTCTATAATTGCACTATTAGTTTGTGTTTGTTACATCTGCAAACAGCTAGTTTGTATTTTCTTGGCAAGTTGTGGCTAAGTTGTATTAGCCAAAATCGCTAATTAGCTGGCTAGCTAGCTGGCTAATAAATGTACTGAGTCAGAGCAAACGTAGCTAGCTATACAGCCTGATACCAGTGATGGTGTAGACCTAAATCAGTGTGTTGTTTGTGCAACAGTATCTTCTAAATCAAAGAGGAATAGGCGAAGCTTGAATACTTTAGCTACATTAAGTAGCTAAGAGAAAACATTTAATGTAGCCAATGATTATAGGGTCCCCTAGGAAACACTGACCAACACTTTGGTTCCTACCCTGTCACAATAACTTCTCCCTGGCATTTTCATTCGTTGTCATGTCAAATAACACTGTATTCAAAGTGCCCACTATTATCTTCTAACTATAGAATTAGAATAATCATTATTTTTCCATGATTCCAACTGTTCACCCAAATGTTTTGATCTAAATCGCAAGTCAAATCATAATTGCAACATTTGGTTAAAAATAAGGCCTAGATTTTTTGCCCACATCGTACAGCCCTACGTGGCAGTGTGGAAATGATCTCAAATGAGTGCAGGAAATGCAGAAATTTATGAAAAGTTGAATTGAACAGTATAAAACAATCAGAATGGAGAATGACCCATTGAAATCACTTAGTCTGTGATGCCACCCTAGGGTCACGCACTACTCATAAAGCAAATGTAGAAGTTGTATTATTCAAAAAGCAAATGTAGAACTTGGCCATATCGCCCAGCCCTAGCTATGGCTAGGCCTATGAGTTTTCCAGACCAGGAGTTGAAATCCTGGCCCTAGTCAAGTTATAGGCTAAAACTAGAGCCCAGAGTTGTGCCTAGTCAGGACAATCTCTTTGCTCTCTGGCCCTAGAACCCTGTGTAGGAGGGACAGGGTCTTTCCTCCGGCTGGGAGAACGAAGCAGTGACAGCAGACATGTCCGACTGGCTGAAGCTAACCAGAGTCCCTCAGACCAATCTCCACTTGATGTCTCACGCTAATGGCCAGCGTCAGTGGATGCCATTCTCTTGTGATAAACTTGGTGTGGTGAGGCGGAGGGCTGGAGGGACTATCCGCTGCAATAATTTTAATCTGACGCCTTGCTTTGTGGAATATTAATGTAGGCTACGCTGGGCTTTGCTGTCGCAGTATCAACATTTTGTGCATAGCTTCTCCTTGAATGGCAACGAGAGATTACAGAAAATCCTTGTTTTTGGATTTGTTTTTTAATCATCCTATGTTATTACAACTAGCTTGTTCAGATACTTCAGGAGGGCTACATGTCCCAGCCTGATCCATGCTAACAGGATGTGAGAGGGAAGTGTGTGGTGGAATGTGCCTAAGGCTATATGGAAACAGATGTGTGTGTGTGTGTGTGTGTGTGTGTAGGGTGCTCTAACCCTTTGTCGATCTCTCTTTCTTAGTCGAGCTGTCTAAGGAAATGTGTCCCACAACTCTGAACTCTGAACTCCGTACATGTGTGTGCTTGTGCATGCATGCATGTGTGTTTCTGCTCTGACCCTGACGTCTATCCATCTCTCTCCCTGTCAGTGGAGCTAAGGAGCAGTGACCCAGAACTGGATTGACAGCCAGGAAGACGAACCCAAAGTGAACTCCTTGGCCCAGCGTCAACACATCTTTATGATTCTTCCACAGACTGTATGACAGAGGTAACTTAACTTCAATACAACACATTTGTCGATCAGAAATACTACACTAGCAACACTACAACAGTTTTGAAACATGGTGACAGCTGACATAATGGAAGTTTATTACAAAGTAAACCTGTTTGAACAATAAATAAAATAAACAACGTGTTAATTTAACCATTCTGTGATTGAGACCAATAGTTTGGGTTTCTGATCCAATCGTAATGTAATATCTGGCTTGTCTGTATTGGCTTCTGTTCATTGTTTCTTGTTGCTTTTGTTCTTGGGCCACTTACCTTAGCTTTTATCTGTAGCTTGTGCAGGGCTTTAAGACATACTGCTTGGAGGTATAGGTGATGTCATGGTTAATCCCCTTCTTGACTTCAGAAAAAAACGAACCATAGGATTAACCCCTTGTTACCTACAGTACCTTTTTCTTTCTAATGTTACATTGGGGAGTGGGTTTCCCAAAGCATTCGTAGCTAAAGCGCAACGTTATTTCTCTCCACAACCAAGCTGCACAGCCGTGAGGGAGTAACAATTATAAAATCGATATTTGTTTGTCTTGTATGTGTGAATTAGCATAAAATATTTACCACTTTGCTCTTCTACTAGAGGTGTGATTCTGGGCTGGTGAGAGAAAAAACATACTACTTTAGCCATGAAGGCTTTGAAAAACCCACCCCAGACCAATGTAGCAAATTGCTTTTCAACAAGGGGTGGATTCAAAAACATTGCTAAATAGAGTCTCTCTTGTTTTAATTAGCCCAGCAGGCTTCTTTGTAAGCCATGTGAGAACATATAAAGGTCTTCAGGTGTACTTACAGTAAGAGCTTTATAGGTAGTTTATAGAAGGTTTCGTCTTGAATGAAAAAGATTTGGTACAGGTAATTTCACTATCAAGCGAAGAGTGTTAAGCTACGACGTCCTGAATAATATAATTTTAGGCTACCAGCCTCCTTACTTCTTAACCAAATGTCATGCTCTCTTTATCTCTGGGTAACACATGAAAAATACATACATACGTACACTAGCCTCAGTAACACACATACAGTGCACAGGTATCTGAGTCAGTGTTTCCCTTCTCTTATCAGGTTGTGAGTAGACTCTCTGGGGGCTTCTGCTGAAAGGTCTCAGTCCACAACCATGACTCAGTCTGTGCACGTCAACCCAAAGCTGCCTGGTAAGCACATTTCACCGATATCCACTTTATTAGACGTTCAGTTCCAGCTGGTATTTATCAAGTCATTATGTGTTAACAATGGATCATGTCTGGGACTTGAAGAAATTCAACAGATTTGATAACTGTTGTTGTAATGTTTTCCTGCGGCCTGCAGATCTGGGCACACCGTTTCTATTCTCCAGTCAGGAAGAGGCGGATCAACAGGGCTCTTATTCGGTCCAAACTCCGTATGGCTTCCAACTGGACCTGGACTTCCTCAAGTATGTGGAGGAGATAGAAAGCGGCCAACACGTCCGCCGGGCACCCGTCAACACTCGCAGGTCATCCCGGGGGGTCAAAGTCTCCCAGCGGAGCCCGAGTGTGGGGGGACGAGCCAGCGGCTGGACCTCCACAGAGTCCCTCTCCTCACCCGCCAGCGAAGATGGTCGTGCGCCCCCTCCTCCGCCCCCACGGAATCGCATCGGCTCCGCTCCCAGTGAGGGGCAACCCCTGTCCCCGCTATCTGTCCTTAGCCCCCCCCTCTCTGCTGGCACCAAAGTGCCACCACCACCTCCGCTACGTAACCCCAGGGTAGAGAGGACTCTCCTGGAGACCAGCCTGCGACTGCAGCAGGAGCAGAGCCACCAGCACCAAAATGTCACCTGTTTCCAACTCTCTGACCCACCAAGGCAAAGCCCCAGGGCTGTCCCTACCCATGTTACCCCAGCTAGTGCAGCAGCCACAGTAGATGGCCAGCCCTTGCACCTGTCCTCTGCCACCCCCAGCCCATCTCAGAGTAGCTTGACCAGACCCAGTCCCCACTCCTCCGGTAGGAGCACCCCAGCCTCTAGCACCGGAATGGCTTCTCTGCCGCCCAGCCAGTTGCAGACGGTGAGAGAGCAGATGGCCACTGCCCTGAGGCAACTGAAGGAAATGGAGGAGCGAGTGAAAGGCGTCCCAGTGCTGGAGAGAGAGGTGGCCAAGCTACGTGCTGAGAAAGACATGCTCCTTCTGGCACTGCAGGAGAAGAAGACCTTGGCGGCCCAACAACAGGCTACAACAGTAGTGAGCAGTACTACCACCACCACGGTGGACGCAGGCACACAGAGTCCGGAACGTCCTCCTTTTTCCCCCAAGAGTCCCAGAAGTCCCAAGAGTCCCAGCAAAGTAGGGGACCTCAGAAAGCTGACAGAGAAGTTTGAAGGCAAGACAGAGAAAGAAGGAGCACATTCTGAGAAGGTTCCGGAGAAGGTTGTGGAGAAGAAGTCTGTGGCCGTCGGGGACGACATGTTGCTGGACGCCGGGGTCTTCTACTACAGCCAAGGTGTCAAGGATGCCTCAGAGGGCACGCCACAGGTGGACGTCTGTGAGAAATGTGTGGCCACGGAGGCACCGGCCGTCCGCGAGGAGGGGGTGCAGGTTGGGGTGGTGACAGAGGAGGCCTCAGTTTGGGTGATGGAATCCCAGCTGGGGCTGAGCAGTGAGGCCCAGAGGGAGATCGACACCCTACAGGACACCATCAAGTTCCAGCAGGAGTCCATCTTGGCTCTGGAGGGGCGACTTGGCCAGGCTGATGAGGACCTGGCGGTGCTCAAAGCCCAGGAGCATGAGAGGAAATCCAAGGCAACGTCTGAGAAGGGGGTCCTTGCCAAACCAGACTTAGCCCATGCCCAAGTGGGGACTGAAGCCTCTACAACGTCCACGCCAGCTTCACAGCATGTCGCAGTCTCCTGTTGTCCTGAGGTGGTTGACGCTTGTGTAGGTGAGGATTTGAGAGCCGGACATTACGACCAGAGCACTCAGACTGACTCTGTGAAGAGCCCTGCAGAAGAGGAACCAACCCCAGTAGCACTGGTCAGCACTGAAAGTCAATGGGAGAATCTGTACGAAGAGGAGACTATAGGGCAGAAAGCTCCAATCACTGCGCTGAAGAAGAGACAGATGACCATTGCGGAGTATAAGGTCACCCCTGGCGAGGAGACGGTCAGTTTAGCCGAAGGAAAGGGAGGGAAAGAGGAGGAAATGGCGCCCAGGACACCCACAACTCCAACAATGGTTGAAAGTGAGTGCCACGTGTATTTATTTACTGTTATACAATAGTTCTTCATATAGAAGATACATTATTCCCCCACACTAATAAAGCAGGTATAAAATAATATAGAATTCAATGTAGTAGCATATTGGTTGGGTCACTCACCGAATCCGTTGTTGCCACAGGTATGCTGAAATCCATCATGAAGAAGAAGGATGGGAGTAGTTCCGGGGAATCACGCAGCAGTGGCAAGAAGAGCTTGCAGTTTGTTGGCATTCTCAACGGGGGGTAAGTGGTGCTTTGCCATCAATTAATGTGCAAAAATCAGCACATATTACCATCACACTGATAGTACACAGGGCATATTAGAAGAAAGTTATGACCAATGTTAAAGATAACTAGCTAGACTTGTGCTTCTGTCCAGGTATGAGTCGACATCTAGTGAAGAGGAGGAGGAGGAGGAAGAGGAGTGTTCCTCGGGCGGCAGTGAAGTGGATGATTGCTCAGACAGTAGTGATGACGAAGATGCAGAGGCAGCTCTGGAGGAGACCTCTGATGAAGAGAGGAACATTAATATGGACGACACCGATAGTGATGATATGGCCTTAGCAGCAGGGACTGGAGCCACTGAGGACAGTTCAGATGCAGTGAAAGAGAAGTATGCTTGATTACAACTACAGCTCAGAGAACTGTAATTGTTGGCAGATAACAATTTTAAAGGGATAGTCAACAGAATTTTCATAATTTGTTGAAAGTTTGCTTTCCTTGAAAGAAGTCTGTTGGGAGTAAAATTGTAATCTTCTATTTTGGTTTGTAGCCTTTAGGTGGCCTGCATTTGCTTAAGTTAGCATAAATGCTAAGGGTGTAACGGTAGCAAATCAGGCCTGAATTATCATATCAAACCCTACAATTACCGCAGCCAAAGTTATTTCGCAACATTATCATCTGTGAAGCTATGAATGTGTATATTATTGACAAGGAATTATAGCCAAGATGTTTACAAAAATGAGTTGAATAAGTGATATAGGAGCCTCATCTTACATTGCACAAGTGTTAGTTCCCGGTCGGTCACTACCCATAGATAACTTCCACGTCTAATTGCAGTAATCCCTTGTCCTAGGTTTGAGCTGAGTGCAAAAATGCGTGAGGCTTCTCTCATTCTGAAGAACCACCTGAATGATGATGTCAAAACACTGAAGAGTAAAGAAGTGGTGGGTTTCAGCATGTCTCTTTAATTCCTCGGTTTTATTATATCCTGGAAATCTTGAATTTCCTTTACAAAATTAGCTGCTACCTGATTTTTTGAAACAAATAACTTGTTTGTTATTTCCAATCCACACATAATCTCTCAAGTGTTCCCTCTAAGTATTAAGAGTGGTATTTTGAAGTTCCATGACTTGAAGAGGTGGTTGCACGAACAAGTCTCCTTTGTCCAATTCATGCCACACTAAATATGCCACACTAAATATGATGATAAACACTTAAGACCTCTGCATGGTTCTACAATGTCTTCCTGATGTTCCAAGTGTTTATAATCATATTAGTATGATAACCTTTATGTAGCCGTATTCCATCAGTGATCTTATCCCACATCCTCCCTCCTTACCCCTTGTTTTGTCCTGTAGCTCTCCAGCACTCACACTGTGCAGCTGGAATGGTTCCGCATCTCTAGTGCAAAGATGGCCCAGCCGCCCCGTGTCTCAGACTACCTGATGGCCTTCACTGAGGTCTCCTCTGCCCTGCTGGCCCACGTCGTCAACATGACCGATGGCAATGGTAACACGGCCTTGCACTACAGCGTCTCCCACTCCAATTTCACTGTGGTGGGGCTACTACTGGACACAGGTTAGTTGGAGTGAGGAGTGTTCACTTATCTCTGGGAAGTTAGGGTCAGGGCATATGACCTTAGTGAAGAGATCATGTCATAATGAATCTTCAGAAGTTTGGTATTTATGGTCACATTAGTTATGCCATTTATTTATCGTCAGGAAGTTTCCATGCCCCGGGGTTTCACCATGGGGTGGGTGTGCTCTGTGCAGGCATGTGTTGTGTAAATAAGCAGAACAAGGCAGGCTACACTGCTATCATGCTGGCGGCCCTCTCAGCTGTGAAAGAGGAGGATGACATGGTGGTGGTCAGGAAGCTCTTCAGTCAGGGCAACGTCAACGCCAAGGCCAGCCAGGCAAGTCCTTCTCAAATCACTTCAAATCCAGTCTATCCCCTTAGTCAATGCTGCTTGTGTGTGTTCGCTAACACCATGCTAACTGGGCTACGTCGTGTTTAGGCTGGCCAGACAGCGCTGATGCTAGCCGTTAGCCATGGACGGCAGGAGATGGTGCGGGCGCTGCTGGACTGCGGGGCTGACGTGAACGTGCAGGATGACGAGGGCTCCACAGCGCTCATGTGCGCCAGCGAGCACGGCCGCGCCGAGATCGTCTCGCTGCTCCTGGACCAGCCGGGCTGTGACATCTCCATCGTGGACAATGTGAGTTCCTTTGCTGTCTGTCTGGCTGTTTACCCTGTACACTCAGTGTGTCTTCACACGCTTCCTCTTTCTTCTACCTCTTTTCCGTTTCACGCTGAACTGAAAGAACTAGGCAGGTCAAAGCAAGTGCTCTGATAGGCTTTTGCCATGTTGTTTTATATGTCCTATCTTAACATCAGTGCTGCAGATGAAGGAGTGGAGAGCAGGGGAGGAAGTCACTAGATTATTGCAATGCACCCAAGAAGTGAATATAAAAACACATATTACATTTATTTTATAAATCCTTGTTTGTTTCTTTTTTTAATGAACGCACATTTTTAAGTTAGCAATAAGACATAATATTTGTATAATCTGTACACCAGTGTTTTTCTACAGTATGACTTTACAGTGGATTTTTCTCAGACTATTTTGAACCTCCAGTCCAGACTGATATCTAAGAGCACACATTACATTTACATTTAAGTCATTTAGCAGACGCTCTTATCCAGAGCGACTTACAAATTGGTGCATTGAACTTAGGATAGCCAGTGGGACAACCACCTTTCTTTTTTTTTCTTTTTTTTGGGGGGGAGAAGGATTACTGTTATATCTGGGGCAAAATGAGTTAGTCATGCAGCACATGGAGTGAGTTTCAGTAGGACACAGCTAGACTGAGAGGGGCTGGGAAAGTATTTAGGAAGATGTTTTTTTCAACCCTGTGACAATTGGATACAGCTAATTCTTCAGGACTGTGAGGCAGACAGAAATGTGGGTTAACCCTTTGCTGGTTTGAAGACCTAGATCAGGGGTGGGCAACCTTAAGGGCCACTGTGGGTGCAGGGTTTTATTTCAGCCAACTTGGAACAAATCCGATTAATCTACCCGATTAATCCAATCAAAATGTTGATAAGCTACGATTAGTCGGTGTGTTGCTTGGCTGCCTGGAAGAAAAGCCTGTACCCACACCGGCCCTCGCAGTGTAAGATAGCCCACCCCTCACCTTGACTGTATACAGTAAAGACACAGTTCTATATTGCATGAATTGCATATAGCTTCTTATTCTTTCTAAACTGTGTGATGAGGCTGTGAATGGGCAGGAATCTTATCTGTGTCCCGCCTCAGAGGGTTTATAGCAAAGCCTGCTGTCCCTTTTGTCTTCCTCCCTCTCTAGGATGGCAGTAATGCTCTTTCCATCGCCCTGGAGGCCTCTCACAATGACACAGCTGTGCTGCTCTACGCCCACATGAACTACGCCAAAGCCCAGGCAGCTGTGAGTTCCCCAAACTCTGGTCTTGAGGCCGAGGGGCCTGCCTGGTTTTATATGACAAACAGCCAGTTGGCCTTGAATCCAGTATAGGTCACACTCACAACATATCCGTATCATGCGCAATTTCACTTCTATTTGAAGTGGGTAATATTAGCGCCTCGGCTACACTCCAATGTTTAGTTTGGGTGTGGTATGTTGGCTGCTAGTTGAAAGATCATGTCTTGGCATGTGTAGCGGTAGTGACCCCTAGAGCATATTCTTTACAGCTATATGTATTTTTACTGTATATTGTAATTTTTGCCCTGTTTTACTACTATCACTCTGACAACATTGGTATATTTATTTCAGGGGACGAACAAGTCTCGAAGCCCCACTAGTCCTCAAAAGACATGGCCTGCTGCGGAGTGATGGGCCACCAAGATGGAAAAACAAACATAACTGGACATAAGCGTTGAAAAAGCTGTATTTATATCATGGCATACGTTATTCATTTGTATTGTTAATATAAGATTGTTATTTTTCCATAAATGTCGTTATTATATACGATACTAATCTGCATTTGCAAAATGTTTGACTAAGTCGAGGTCTGCAGCATCTATTTTTCTATGATACAGTAAAGCAGACCTCACATTTATTTGCACTCATTTTCTGTGTTTAGTTTGAGTTCCCCTCCCCCTTTAACTGCCTTCTCAATCTTCATGCCAACATAGTTCAAGTCTGCACTAACTGTCTATGCCTTGTATATTTATGTAATGATTTTCATGTAAAAAAATAAACATATATTTACATAACATGTGACACTGTTACATTTTGTACTAAGCAGATATAGCAGAAGAGGTCCAGATGACATACTTTCTTAAAAAAAAAAAATAAGGTTCATGTTATGATGCGTAGCGTATATTCTTCTGTCAAACGTGATCAAGCTATAAAGGTGAGCTTTTGTTTGAATAGTATTTCAAGCAATAACCATCCTGTCAGACATTATCAAGCCAACTTTTAATGCAAATTAATGTAATAAGATTACATTATATATTCTAATCTATTACACAATTTATCACCAGAAAAATAAAAATTGTAAAACACGCAATCCAAGAGTGAGCCGCGCCGGAGATGCCCAGCTCGGAGAGGGTGGAGAGGAGGATCTGATGGTTCACAGTATCAAAGGCAGCAGACAGGTCTAGAAGGACAAGAGCAGAGGAGAGAGAGTTAGCTTTAGCAGTGCGGAGAGCCTCCGTGACACAGAGAAGAGCAGTCTCAGTTGAATGACCAGTCTTGAAACCTGACTGGTTTGGATCAAGAAGGTCATTCTGAGAGAGATAGCAAGAGAGTTGGCTAAAGACGGCACGCTCAATAGTTTTGGAGAGAAAAGAAAGAAGGGATACTGGTCTGTAGTTGTTGACATCAAAGGGATCGAGTGTTGGTTTTTTGAGAAGGGGTGCAACTCTCGCTCTCTTGAAGACGGAAGGGACATAGCCAGCGGTCAAGGATGAGTTGATCAGCGAGGTGAGGTAGGGGAGAAGGTCACCGGAGATGGTCTGGAGAAGAGAGGAGGGGATAGGGTCAAGCGGGCAGGTTGTTGGGCGGCCTGCAGTCACAAGTCGCAAGATTTTATCTGGAGAGAGAGGGGAGAAAGAAGTCAAAGCATAGGGTAGGGCAGTGTGAGCAGGACCAGCAGTGTCATTTGACTTAACAAACGAGGATCGGATGTCTATACTAAATATAATCACGTCACCAAATAATGGATTAAAACATACTATTTTGCAATGGTCTACAGTAGCCTCAACAGCACTCTGTAGGGTAGCGCCATGGTATAGCCGGAGGACAGCTAGCTTCCATCCTCCTCTGTCTACATTGACTTCAATACAAAACCTAGGAGGCTCATGGTTCTCAAACCCTTCCATAGACTTACACAGTAATTATGACAACTTCCGGAGGACGTCCTCCAACCTATCAGAGCTCTTGCAGCATGAACTGACATGTTGTCCACCCAATCAAAGGATCAGATAATTAATCGAGTACTGAAAGCATAAGCTACAGCTAGCTAGCACTGTAGTGCATAAAATATGGTGAGTAGTTGACTCAAAGAGAGAGAAAGATAATAGTTGAACAGTTTTGAACAAATTAATTTATTCCAAAATGAAGGTTTTTACACTTTCAGTTTCACTTAGCAAGCAAATGCAGCTAGCTAGTTTAGCCTACTCAAACATCCTGCTCAAACAGAGGGATGCTATGTTAGCTATCTGGCTATGACTATGAAACACAACAATGGAACTCTTCCAAGCAAAGGTAAGCTTTTGGTTTTACTAATTTATGGCCACCGGGGCCCGCCGGTGTAAGAGCTAAACTGCTTCCTGACTGTACACTGTAATGTTACTTCATGATTGTAGCAGGTTTACTAACGCGTTTGTTGACTATGACGTTACTTTAGCTAATATGGTGACAACGATGTAGGCTGTGTGTAGCAGTTATGATATGGTTCAGCTGGTCACATACAGATGATGTGTTGTGAATTGACGTCCACAAGCGACGATAGGAAAAGGTGAGAGGAGGAGAGCGCATAGATGCGAGAAGGAATACAATGTGGCTGTTATGAAAGTGAACTGTGTTTACTCGTGATCAGTGGTGTATTCATTCTGCCTATTCTGTTGAAAAACTTTTCTTAAATGGAACAAAACGGGGATAAACATATCTGAATTTGTCCAATAGAAACTCTTGTTTGCAACAGTTGGAGTAATGACTACACAGTTGTTTGCAACTGTTGGACTAATGATTACACCCTATATCAGCTAGATGCAGGCAAGAGTGTGCAAGGCGGTATTGAATGTGTCACTGTCTGTCACCTCAAATTTTTCTCTCGACCTACGCTGTAAACTTTCATTCATAGGCTAGTTTGTAGCAACCTCATGATGGGTATAGGGGAAAGTATCATGTAGTAGCCTAAACCTATCGCTGTTACATTGAACTGGGTGAGTGGAATATGAATGACAATCATCAATATGCTGTAATAGAAATAAAGCCATGCTCATGGAGAGAAAAAAAAATCGTCCTCCCTCATCTTAAACTGCACTGACCGCCACTGGTCTGTACAGTCTATTAGCCAGACCTATTGCAATAAAGTGCTCTGGGCAGACATGGCTCTGTATAGTGACATACCTTATGTTTAATAGGTAACAGGTAGCACACATATAGAGATAATACAATGTGTATGTAACTTTTGTCAAAGTTGCGTCAATTCAAATCTGGCATTAGGAACAAAAGAGGTCAACACGACTTCTAAGATATACTAGTTATTTTAATTAATGCAAAAACCTTCAATGGTAAATATGATGTTTCGTATATACGGGCTCTTTGAAATACCTCGCAGGGCACTTCAGAGAACTAATCCATTGTTCTAGGTTCTTGCTCAAATACTCTGACAGAGAGAGTTTCCCACCTCTCTGCTGACCAATTAGAGTAGAGACTTGAGCGTGGTTTAGACTTACTCAGCCAATCCGTTGATGCACCCCTGTTGCCAGGCATAAGTCCATATCATAACAACCTGTTATAGTGAGAAGAGCCAGCTCCCTTAGACACCATTCCTACGTCCAAGGAAGGTTCACAGATCACAAAGAACCAGTATATTCCAGTGTCTGGAGACACAAATCCCTATCTCATCTTACCCCCCAAAACAGCTCTTCACATCAATCACAGCCTGCCAGGTGACACAACCTACACTAGCCCAGTCAATAATGCATTCTTTCTAAGTTAGTCATCCCATCAATTATAAAAAATAATAAATCTCTCACACTTTTTAGCGGTATAGCTCTATGGTAGCACATTCTGATTTCACATGAGAAACACTTTTCATGCCACTTCGACACAGCTACGACTGGAAGTTACGTTTTAAGGTTAGGAAAGGGGTTATTGTTAGCGAAAATGCTCTCCTAGCCTCCTACGAACATCACTTCCGGTCATAGCTGTATCTAAGTCGCGTGAAAAGAGTGTGTCCCGATTTCACAAACCGGTACATGATGTATCACTCCAGAACGGTAGGTGTCAGTAATCCAACAGAACTTGGACTGCCTGTCGTGAAAAGGAAAAGAAGAAGTATTCTGCCCTTGACAACAACAATGGCGACTGCCACAAAAATTATCCAGAGGCTCAGAAATCTTTTATCCGGGGTGAGCCATATATCTCTTTATATTGTGTATTTAGTGCAAGTTGTTAACTTAATTCTAGGTCCCTACACGTTTTAAGATTTTAAAAGCCTGTCGAACTGGCTAAGGAAACACAGCTAACGTTATCTAGCTTGTTAGCTAGCTTCTTAGCTACTTTAGTTGGCTAACGAACATTGCATGTTAGCAATAGAAGACTCTTTGAAAAGCAAGTTGTTACTTTTAATTAACCTGCTCAAATTTACACAGCATGATCTGCAAGCAAAGCTCCAGTTGCGTTACGGTGAGATTGCAAAGAGGTAAGTGGCAAGTCATTAATGTCTTGAATGTTTAATAGCTAATAATCCATTTAGGCAGGAAGTTTTCTGCAGGTTTTGCATGACAATCAATTGGGAGGTACGGATGGTGTTTGCACTAAACTGTTTGTACTCTATATATAGAAGGAGTAGGCCGACACTTTGTAAATGCCACACAATCTTAGTTTCAATCTTTTGTGCAGGACCCAACCACCCCCCAAACTTCCAGTTGGTCCCAGTCACAAGTTTGCCTTCAATTACTATAATGGCAGAGATGGGCGTAGAGAGTCTGCACCAGCCACCATCGTGATGTCCAGTCAAAAAGCCCTCGCTGCTGGGTGAGTGGGACATTAAGAAAGTCTATGACAGTCTATGACACAAAGGCTATGGCAGTTCGATAAGTGTTGGGATTCCATCCTCCTCTGGCTAGTCAGGTGGAGGTTGAGTGCATATGACTTCTTTACTGTTTGTCCTCAGGTGGCTTCCCTGCCCTTGCCTCCTGTCCCTCCTATTGCCATGGGTACACCTTCCTGAAAACAATGGCACTATACTTTACTTAAACCTCTGCCAGTTCATGTCCTTAAAGACACACTGCATTCTCCTTTTCATTTGATTTACTTAACAAAAGGCCCATCTCAATAGGTGGTCCAGGTATGACATGACATGGCGCAAGTGGGGGGGGTGGTGGTGGGGGGGGGGTTTCCTCTATTGTTCCCACAAGCAAGGGGGGAGGCAGATAATAATAATATGCCATTTAGCAGACACTTTTATCCAAAGCGACTTACAGTCATGTGCGCATACATTTTTACGTATGGGTGGTCCCGAGGATCGAACCCACTACCCTGGCGTTACAAGCGCCATGCTCTACCAATTGAGCTACAGAGGACCACACAGATGAGAGTAAACCCATCAGACCAACTCCTTGAGACTTCAAGAGTTGGCCATTCTAGTTCACGATTTTGCCACAAATTTGCAAAGTTTTTGCCGTCACAGACACATTTTCATGATTGGGGTGAAATCTTATGAACTTGGGCTAGGATCAGTACGTCGGGACTCATGTAGTTTGAGCGGGTCAAGGACGCACCGATGATGGCTGTTCCGTTCTCCATACCCCTGTCGGATGTCCTGATAATTTTCTGAAATGTTGGTTGTACATCTTGTAGTATGAGCAGTGCTACGATGCGATTGGGCAAGAACTACTGCCAGTAGTCATTGCGTACTCAGCATGTGAGACCAAAACAATATTGGCGAAGAGGAAAGCAACAACAAGCACCATGTGGACCGAGGTGATGGAAGACACATTGGTGGAGCTGTGGAGAGAACGCAGCTGACTTTTCAATATTAAACGTTTTATATTACCTTCAATTCCCTCTGTAGAATAGAAAGTTAATATTGTCCACATCTGCCCAACCATTTGCGGGTCCATATTCTGCCCCTCCATCTCTTTTTTGATGTTTCTGTACATAAATAATGTGCACACTAATAAAGCAGCTCGCTGTTTGATTGTCAGCATTTTCTTCCTATGACAACAGAGAAACGCAGGGCAGGATCAACTAGGGAATCGTCTTGTAATGTGAGCACCTACATCCTGGGGTTGAGGATGGACGGAATGAAAGATTTGGGACAAGGAAATCGGGAAATGTGAGCACTTCCAAGTTGTTAAAGGGATAATCCACCCCCAGAAATAGAAATCATCAATTTGGTGAAAGCCTATGTTCCATCTGTGGGTAAAATAGAAGTTAAATCATGGTGAAATTTTTTAAGTGGTCTGTCTGAAATCAGTTAATTGTGTAGGAACGTGTCATAGCTATAGTGTGTCATCCTCTATCACATTTCATAATGCTTTTATACATTTACATTACATTTTAGTCATTTAGCAGACGCTCTTATCCAGAGCGACTTACAGTTAGTGAACACATATATATATATTTTTTTATACTGGCCCCCCCGTGGGAATCGAACCCACAACCCTGGCGTTGCAAACGCCATGCTCTATCAACTGAGCTACATCCCTGCCGGCCATTCCCTCCCCTACCCTGGACGACGCTGGGCCAATTGTGCGCCGCCCATGAATCTCCCGGTCGCGGCCGGCTGCGACAGAGCCTGGATTCGAACCAGGATCTCTAGTGGCACAGTTAGCACTGCACTCCAAATCGTCAAATCAGCCAAAAGATGGTATGGGTATACATCAGTCTATATATTCATGACAAAGTATATATTTTTGTCCAAGATGGCCTCAAAGTACACAGTCAGATCCTTCATCTACCTCTTGTCTCCTTGCTAGCAGACTCGCAGGCCCATTGCCATAGCAACCACACTGACTCAAAGTTTTGAGCTAGAAATGCGATCTCTACCAACTTCAACATGGTGTAACTCCTAAATTGATACTGCAGTTTGTTTGAGGGATTTTACACCTAGCTATCTACTTCCCATGCTGATATTGACTTTGGTATTAGTGTGTGCATGGGCATGAATCTTTAGCACGAGCCCTACCCATGCCCGATTGCTTCGGCCAAATTTAAGGCCTGGTCCTGCCCGAAACCAGAAATAACTTCCTCCATTAGTAAATCCATTAGCTACTCCTGTCTGTCGCTCACAAATGTACCCAAATGTAGTTTTATGATTAGTAAATGCCATAATTTAGTTATTTTGGTAAATACTTCTCCTTATGATCTGACATTGTATTTTTTCAAAGCCATTTTAGCTGTCGCGCTAGCTGTTCGGTGGCTAATCAAGCTATACACTGAGTATACCAAACATTAGGAACAGCTTCCTAATATTGAGTTGCACCCCACCCTTTTGTGCTCAGAACAGCCTCAAGTCCTCAGGGCATGGACTCTACAAGTTGTGGAAAGCGCTCCACAGGGATGCTGGCCCAGCTTGACTCCAATGCTTCCCACAGTTGTCAAGTTGGCTGGATGTCCTTTGGGTGGTGGACCATTCTTGATACACATGGGGGAAACTGTTGAGCGTGGAAAAACCCAGCAGCGTTGCAGTTCTTGACACAAACTGGTGCGCCTGGCACCTACTACCATACCCCGTTCAAAGGCACTTAAATCCTTTGACTTTCCCAGTCACCCTCTGAATGGCACACATACACAATCCATGTCTCAATTGTCTCAAGGCTTAAAAATCCTTCTTTAACCCATCTCCTCCCCATCTCCTCCCCTTCATCTACACTGATTTGAAGTTTTTAACAAGTAATATTAATAAGGGATCATTGCTTTCATCTGGATTCACCTGGTCAGTCTGTCATGGAAAGAGCAGGTGTTCTTATTGTTTTGTACACTGTGTATATTTGGATTATAGTGAATATCTTTGACAGTATTATACAATATCGGTGTACATTTGATTTAGCTAGAGAATTTACTCTATACTGTATTTTACCATCATTTTTTAATACACATTTTTAGTTTAGTTTTTTTTAAAACAATACAGATGCACACAAACATCCACATCACACCTGCCCAGACCCACCTGCTCACACCCCCATCTCCAGCGCCCGTATCACTCTCCGCCACATGGCCTCAAACTGCACCATTTTGTTTCTCTCCGTCGCCAACTCCGTTTCAACATTTAGATAATAAAGCTTCTGACCTTTCCTTTGTGGAAAGCTCCAGGCCTCCTGTAGCTCAGTTGGTAGAGCGTGGCGCTTGCAACGCCAGGGTTGTGGGTTCGATTCCCACGGGGGGCCAGTATGAAAAATGTATGCACTCACTAACTGTAAGTCGCTCTGGATAAGAGCGTCTGCTAAAATGTAAAATGTTAACGATGGAGGATTGGTTGATTTCCAGTTAAGTATGTTTTTCAAGATGATTGACGAGAAAAATATAGTCCAACCCATCGGGTATCTCACTGCACCCTCATATGCCATGTCTTGAAATATGCAGACAGACGGATTAAAAGTACATTTACATTGTAATACTTCTGACAGCCAACATTCTAACTCTGCCCATAACTTTTGTACTTTATAGCATTCCCAGAAGGTATGGATTGAGTCATTGTTAGTTTTACACTTAAGACATGACTCTACCATTGTGCTGTAGAATTAGTGAATGTTGTCTCGTGTAATACATTCTATATATTAGCTTATACTGGATTAAGTGTGGATTTTCGTTAACTGTAATTTAATTAGTTATGTTCCAACATTCCCTCCATCTTGTGCCAATATCAGTTCTTTTTCATTCTTGATTCCAGTAGTTTATATTTTTTTCGTAAGAGATTGTCAGTTGGATAGGCTCTCTGCGAGGTTTTATACATCTTACCTACAATATGAATATCCTTTTCTGACTCAAATAGGGTTTCCTCAAGATTACTCTTGATTCCCAAAAGATTTCAAATAGAAATTTTGTGATATGTAACTTTTAAGTTGCATGTATTGGTCAGTCCAAAATTGCTTTTTAATTCTGTCATGGAAATAAATGTATTTCCTATTACCAAGTCATTTACGGTTTCTATGCCTTTAGTTTTCCATGTAGACACATTTAATCGGTGAATTCTGAAAAGCTATCCAAGGATTGTTCCATAAGTTTGTGTTTTTAAGGAATGAAATTGGTTCTTGTAGAATACATTTCATTTTCTTTCATATTGTTATAGTTTTCTTAACTATGAAGTTGTTAATGTTAATAGCTTTATCCTTAGAAAATAGACATGTTAAAAGATTCTGGGGATGAGCATGCGCATCTTCAATATGTACCCATTGTTCTTCTTTAGTGCATTAAACTACTGTATATGGGCTCCCGAGTGGCGCAGTGGTCTAAGGCACTGCATCTCAGTGCTTGAGGCGTCACTACAGACCCCTGGTTTGATTCCAGGCTGTATCACAACCGGCCGTGATTGGGAGTCCAATAGGACGGCGCGCAATTGGCCCAGCGTCGTCCGGGTTTGGCCAGTGTAGGCAGTCATTGTAAATAAGAATTTGTTCTTAACTGACTTTCCTAGTTAAATAAAGGTACAATTACAAAATAAAATAAAAATATGTCGCAAGTAAAAGCCATGGGTGGAGAGTTGATACAATTCCAAGTCTGGAAGGTTATAACCACCCTCAGACTTAGGAAGATGTAAAACGTTCCTTTTTATTCTATGACTTTTATTTGCCCATATAAAGTCTTATGACAGAGTATACATTTTTAAAGAATGTCTTCGGTGGGGTAATTGGTATTACTGAGAATGAATATAAAAACTTAAGGAGCCATGCCATTCTGAAGAGGTTTATTCTACCTGTAAGATTTATGGGAAGATTGTTCCATTTAATGAGATCCGTTTTCATATTGTTGATTAATGGGATAAAGTTATCTTTATATATTTGTTTGCTGTCACTTATTAAGCATCCTAAGTATTTTATATTTTTTGTGGTCTACTGAAAGGATTGCTGTAGATCATGAGTTATTCTTTATTTTTCCTATTGCCATTATCTGGGGTTTTCCACATACATTTTATATCCTGGGTATTCAGATTTTTTTGTTGTTGCAATTTCATCAGATAATGTGTGTATTTTTGCTTTAGGACATTTATATAATATTTTTATTAGAATGTATTATTTCAGCTTGAAAGTTGAAAGCTTCCAAAGTTTTGAATAGAAAAGGCCATTCAAGATGGTCTAAGGTCTTTTCGGCACCAACAGCCATTATTGATAAATCTTTGTTTTTTAGCGTATTGTATTAAACTGTTTGTGTCTATTAAAAAATATATAACTTTATTTTCCTGGTTTTAATGTAACTGAAATAACTGTTTTGATAAATGGAACTAGGAAGCACTGAATTGAGTGACGTGTTGTCATTTGTCGAAATAGGGGCGCTACTGTGTCCCAAAATGTTAAATAGAATTCTATGGGAAAGCCTTCCATTCCTGGTGCTTTTCTCAGCGCGAATGTCTTAATGTTCTTTTTTGTCTGCTGATAATTGCTTCAGGGTGGTTGAGTCCAAGAAGGCTGTAGGATCAGTCCAACTGTTTAATTCTGATTTTATATAGATTTTCATAAAGCTTTTTAAATGGTCATTAATCGCGTTGTTTCTAATTAACGCATTTGTATCTTTTAAAATTATAACTGGTTTGGCAGGTATTCGTTTTGTGAGGGCTGCAAGATTATAATTTTACCATCTTCTAAATGATGTACCAACATAGTCATCAACTTATGCTTTCATTTTCTTACAGCCAAGCTCTGGAGGTGCCAGCAAAGCGTCCTGTCACACCTGGTAATGTTCCCAGGGAGCTAACGCTGTCTACAGACCAGCCATACCTCTGAACAACAACATCAACAAATTGTTTCTCTCCTGACTTACTTTAGGCCTGACAGCAGAGCACAATGTTGCTCTCCCTATTGTTCAAAACCTGTAAAATATCTAAGTGTTAATAAATGATGTAATGTTCAAAGATTTTTTTGTAATGACCAATTATTCATGTTATTAGCATATTTTGTTTGCAAGTCAATCATAGTTTTGGGTACCTGATTTAATATCCCCAAAGTAGTTCATCATCAGGAGTCCACTCAACCATACATGCACGTAGTCTGCTGCAAATTCTTCACTCCCCCAACCTATAGTACCAGAATCTTCTCTCATTGTGACAGCTTCATGCCTTATCCTGTACATATGCTGGATTTATTTACATGTTCAAGTGCAGCAACTTAAAACCTCCAACCTTTGCTCAAAATAGCCTTTGCATTGTACTTTGTTCTCCATTTAGGTCTGGCTTTGAAGGCAAATCAAATGTATTTATAAAGCCCTTTTTACATTAGCAGATGTCATAAAGTGCTTCTACAAAACCCCAAACAGCAAGCAATGCAGATGTAGAATGCAATGCTTCAATTTGATATTTTGTTTCCTCATTGCTCCTTTGCGTTTTCGATGTTAGGCATGTCAATCAAACACGCTGGGCGGGATTTTGGTAACGTGAGGCGGAAGAGGTTGCCTGATCTTGCTACCTATGCTCAGACAGAAATACCGGTACTCTTCATTGCATCCACATTAATGTAGAAGTGTTTAGAAAACATTATATTCTTATTTACAATAAAAGTGACTCCAAAATGACACAGTTCATTATTCATCATTATAAACTGGGTGGTTCGAGCCCTGAGTGCTGATTGGCTGAAAGCTGTGGTATATCAGACCGTATACCACGGGTATGACAAAACATGTATTTTTACTGTTCTAATTACGTTTGTAACCAGTTTATAATAGCAATAAGGCACCTTGGGGGTTTGTGGTATATGGCCAATATACCACGGCTAAGGTCTGTATCCCGGCAATCTGCGTTGCGTCGTGCGTAAGAACAGCCCTTAGCCGTGGTATATTGCCCATATACCACACCCCCTCGTGCCTTACTGCTTAATTCATTTCGATTGGGCACAAAATAATCTGAAACAACCAAAACAAACAGCAAATGCATCCAACAAATGTGTAGTCATTGCTTGCTATGTATATGGGACAAAATACTTAACTATAATTTTAATACACACAAGTTAATTTGTCCCAATACTTTTGCTCCCCTAAAATGGGGGGGGGGGAACTATGTACAAAAAGTGTTGTGATTTCTAAACGGTTCACCCGATATGGATGAAAGTACTGCACTTTAACGTCATAGTCATTGTTTGATTTCAAATCCAAACTTTTAAATTCATTAGGCCCTAATCTATGGATTTCACATGACTGGGCAGGGGCGCAGCCATGAGTGGGCCTGAGAAGGCGTAGGCCCACCCACTGGGGAGCCAGGCCCAGCCAATCAGAATGAGGATTTCTCCACAAAAGGGCTTTATTACAGAGAAAAATACTCCTCAGTTTCATCAGCTGTCCGGGTGGCTGGTCTCAGACAATCCTGCAGGTGAAGAAGCTGGATGTGGAGGTCCTGGGCTGGCGTGGTTACACGTGGTCTGCGGTTGTGAGGTTGGTTGGACGTACTGCAAAATTCTCTAAAACGACGTTGGAGGCGGCTTATGATAGAGAAATGAACATTATATTCTCTGGCAACAGCTCTGTTGGACATTCCTGCAGTCAACATGCCAATTGCACGCATCCCTCAACTTGAGACATCTGTAGTATTGTGTTGTGTGACAAAACTGCATATTTTAGAGAGGCCTTTTATTGTCCCCAGCACAAGGTGCACCTGTGTAATGATCATGCTGTTTAATCAGCTTCTTGATATGCCACACCTGTCAGGTGGATGGATTATCTTGGCAAAGTAGAAATGCTCACTAGCAGGGATGTAAGCAAATTTGTGGCCAACATTTTAGAGAAATAAGCTTTCTGTGCGTATGGAACATTTCTGGCGTCTTTTATTTCAGTTCATGAAACATGGGACCAACAGTTTACATGTTGCGTTTATATTTTTGTTCAGTATAAGATAACTCAAGAAATCTGTTATTAATTTAGACGTTTTTGCTGAGGATATCTTAGTAGCTTAATTTTACATTTAACTAAGATGTTTGGTGCAGTATTTCGCAATGAAAAAATTTGCATGAAAACGAGACGTCTCTCCTTCTTCTTCTTTGGGATTGGGTTGGCAGATCGCATCCAACTTTTAAGGTGCATACACCACCTACTGTACTGGAGTGTGAGGCCAGTCATGGCCTAACTACATTACATTATCTTCATTAGTCCTGTTCCTCTAAGAAGGCGATAGAGCCCTAGACACCACATCCCTCCCTTTTCCTCCCCCACTACACCACCCAAACCCCAACCCCGTCCAGCCTCTCTAACCCTTTCACACAATCTCTCCCTATCTACGTCATACAGTTCACAAAATATCAACACATGCTCCACCGTTTCCTCCATTAAACACTCATGACACAGACCTGTTTCATGTCTCCCTGTCATCCACAACGTGGCATTCAAACCTGTGTGCCCAAACCGTAGTCTACTCCACACAACTTCCTCTCTCCTACATCCCATACTCCCCACCTCTTCCTTAACGGACTGATGCATGATAAAATTGCCTCCCCTTACTACTAGCATCCCACTCCTTTTGCCAAAGATCGAGCCCTTTTGCCCAGATCAAGGACTTGACTTCCCTGCGGCCCAACGGGACCTGAATATCTACCCTCTCCTCACAGCACTCTTAAGACGTCCGCTTGCTTCCCAGCTGAAACAGTTCGGAAGAGATTGTGCATATATTATGATGACATTAACAGCATCTTCATCTCCCCTATCCGACCTGCTTCTTCACACTACTCAACACTGCAGCCAAATCAGAGCAGATCACCACTCAGTGGTTTCACCTCCTCCACCCATCTCAAACCTAAAATCATGGCCATCAACTCGGCCGCATACACTGACACATACAGTGAGGGAAAAAAGTATTTGATCCCCTGCTGATTTTGTACGTTTGCCCACTGACAAAGAAATGATAAGTCTATAATTTTAATGGTAGGTTTATTTGAACAGTGAGAGACAGAATAACAACAACAAAAATCCAGAAAAACGCATGTAAAAAATGTTATAAATTGATTTGCATTTTAATGAGGGAAATAAGTATTTGACCCCTCTGCAAAACATGACTTAGTACTTGGTGGCAAAACCCTTGTTGGCAATCACAGAGGTCAGACGTTTCTTGTAGTTGGCCACCAGGTTTGCACACATCTCAGGAGGGATTTTGTTCCACTCCTCTTTGCAGATCTTCTCCAAGTCATTAAGGTTTCGAGGCTGATGTTTGGCAACTCGAACCTTCAGCTCCCTCCACAGATTTCCTATGGGATTAAGGTCTGGAGACTGGCTAGGCCACTCCAGGACCTTAATGTGCTTCTTCTTGAGCCACTCCTTTGTTGCCTTGGCCGTGTGTTCTGGGTCATTGACATGCTGGAATACCCATCCACGACCCATTTTCAATGCCCTGGCTGAGGGAAGGAAGTTCTCACCCAAGATTTGACGGTACATGGCCCCGTCCATCGTCCCTTTGATGCGGTGAAGTTGTCCTGTCCCCTTAGCAGAAAAACACCCCCAAAGCATAATGTTTTCACCTCCATGTTTGACGGTGGGGATGGTGTTCTTGAGGTCATAGGCAGCATTCCTCCTCCTCCAAACACGGCGAGTTGAGTTGATGCCAAAGAGCTCCATTTTGGTCTCATCTGACCACAACACTTTCACCCAGTTCTCCTCTGAATCATTCAGTTGTTCATTGTCAAACTTCAGATGGGCATGCATATGTGCTTTCTTGAGCAGGGGGACCTTGCGGGCGCTGCAGGATTTCAGTCCTTCACAGCGTAGTGTGTTACCAATTGTTTTCTTGGTGACTATGGTCCCAGCTGCCTTGAGATCATTGACAAGATCCTCCCGTGTAGTTCTGGGCTGATTCCTCACCATTCTCATGATCATTGCAACTCCACGAGGTGAGATCTTGCATGGAGCCCCAGGCCGAGGGAGATTGACAGTTCTTTTGTGTTTCTTCCATTTGCGAATAATCGCACCAACTGTTGTCACCTTCTCACCAAGCTGCTTGGCGATGGTCTTGTAGCCCATTCCAGCCTTGTGTAGGTCTACAATTTTGTCCCTGACATCCTTGGAGAGCTCTTTGGTCTTGGCCATGGTGGAGAGTTTGGAATCTGATTGATTGATTGCTTCTGTGGACAGGTGTCTTTTATACAGATAACAAACTGAGATTAGGAGCACTTGAGTGTGCTCCTAATCTCAGCTCGTTACCTGTATAAAAGACACATGGGAGCCAGAAATCTTTCTGATTGAGAGGGGATCAAATACTTATTTCCCTCATTAAAATGCAAATCAATTTATAACATTCTTGACATGCGTTTTTCTGGATTTTGTTGTTGTTATTCTGTCTCTCACTGTTCAAATAAACCTACCATTCAAATTATAGACTGATCATTTCTTTGTCAGTGGGAAAACGTACAAAATCAGCAGGGGATCAAATACTTTTTTCCCTCACTGTAAATCATTTAACTGCTTACATACTCTAACATTGAAATCTGGAATATACACCCTAGCCCCCACCCTACCACTGACTGGATCCTTTGAACCATCTGTATATATATCCATAAAAACAATGATCTATATACAGTCTCTCCACACACCGTCTCACGTCCTCATCCCATTCTCTCCTGCCCTCAATCATGTCCATATCTACACTTTTTTTTGGAAACAGCCACGGAGGAACGTTCCCTAATGCAATTGCCGGCCCTATCTCTCTCTCTCTCGCCCAGTCCATATTCTACCACCTTCTGCCTGATTGTCCAGCATTCCCCAGTTGCTGTGACTGCAGGAGGTCCTTCTGAACTCCCTTTCAACCTCGCCCAGTACGCTAATCCAAGTTTGTCCTGCCTTATCGTCAGTGGCAGTTCCTCACTATCCACCTGCAATGCCTCAACAGGTGTCATCCTGAAGGCACCCACACACAATCTCAGGGCCCTTGACTGTATCCTGTCCAGGCG